GACAAAATACCCATTTATAAACTATCAAGGGCTCATGAGGGAGGGGGGAGGACGGAGGGAGGGGAAAAATGAGGACCTAATGCCAGGGGCTTAAGTGGAGAGGAAATGTTTTGAGAATGATGAGGGCAATGAATGTACAAATGTGCTTTACACAATTGATGAGTGTATGGATTTTGATAAGAATTGTATGAGCCCCTAATAAAATGATTTTTTTAAAAAAACAAAAAATGACCAAGCATCTCAAAGAAGCTCACCCTTTTTCCTGGCATCATCTCTTCCTTTCTGTGGATTGCTCAATGAAACCCTCTCATCCTGGAAGCAGCAGATTTACACAGTGCTTTCATCATGCAGAGAACCCACCCTCACCCCACCTCCCACCGCAAGCAACTGAGCTTTAAAATATATATATTCTTAATTGGAAGGTAATAGATATATCATTTGACTTGAACAGGTAAAATAGCTGAGCCTTTTAAGAGATTTTCATTGCATTGTTTTCTTTATAAAGCTAAATGGAAATTTTACCAAGGACTGATGGTTCTTAGTGGACATGAAAAGCAAAATGGAAGAAGAAATGGTCAAATTCACTGGGATTTTGGTTCAATTCCTACTTAGCTCTCAAGAGCTTAAATCAACACAAGTCAGTGAAGTAAAGTGTGACTAGAAACTCAGTTCAGGGCACCTTTTCCAAAGGTTGCTCAAGTCAAATATACTGATTCTCAAACACTACTTAATCAGTGCAAGGCACGTAACAGGTCTTCAAATAGCATTGAAAAGATAGTGGGATTTTCCCCAGGACCTCTTTGAAGCTTCCTTGTATTGTAACAGCTATGCCATGTGGAATCTTAAAATGGAACATGTTAGTAACCATGCCCATTCATTGGAAGTCGTATTCATTACCTTCCCAGTTGACAATTATTAACTAAAACGTTAGCTCTCTCCGATTTAAAAGATGGCAATAAACTAAAACATCAAATATCGAGAGCTAATTCTTTAATAACAGATACAGCTCCAAGGTCGGAAGGCACTCTTTTCAACACTGCTGTGGCGTAGCACCTAAATGTTCTCAATTTCCATTCTCTAGTGGCAAAATAAACTCAGATATTAATTTGACAACAGTCCTTAAGATATGTTTTCATTTAGTAATAAGATTTCATAGTTGAGCAGAATGCCGCTTTTTAATTGGCCTGTCCACATTTCCACATTTTCTGAAAGTGGCTTTTTGTTCCTAAGTTATTTTTTCTTTTTCTTTCCTTTGGGAAATTAGAGCTTTGTTGTTCGCTGACACAACAATGTGTTCAAGGTGACAAAGCACTCTGTGGCAGTGCCTACTTTTTGTGGTGCTTAGTGGGCACTGGAATCCTGTAAAACACTTCTCAGTCAAGCTGGTCTCCAGACCTTTTGTTTATGTGGGTTCTGTCTATCAGTACCACATTAGATATGTTCATTGTTTATTAATAATCAATAGTAACAACCCTGTTTCATATTAATATAAATAACATTTTAAAACATTATAGAAACAAATATAGAAAAACACTAATAAAATGCTTTATGAAAATAATATAAAAATAACATTTTATGAAAAATAGCTATTTTATAAGACAGAAAAAAAAAGATTTAATGTATAAGAAATATTAAACTACATAGTTTAAAATCAGGAAAGGCCTGTGTCATTGTGTCCTTTCACCATAGTTTTTCAGTCTGTAAGTAACCAAAGAATCTGCAATATTTGCAGAAGAATGTGACATAAAAATTTAAGGAAGAGTCAGTAGCAGCCTGTGATACACAAATGCACAACCTTGTTTGCTGAAAGGGAAAAGGACCTGCCACACTTACTGATCAATGTCAAAAGCTACCACATTCAATATAAATTATAGCTCAACAAATAATGAAATTCATTTAACAAAAATAACAATAAATGGGAATTTCTCAGCACCATATATGAAAAGCCTGTGTCCAACATTTTGCTTCGGGAAAAAGTGAAAGCACTTATATGAGATAACTAGAATAGGAAAAAGTGTAGAGACCAGTTTATTAGTGGTTATCTGATTGGTAGAAAGCGGAAAGGGGGCTTTATTGCGTAAGAAGTACTGATGGCTAATAATGATGAGAAAATTTGGAAAATTCTAATTATGATCATATAGTATGTCAAACATAAGTATCGCCAATGAATTTGTACACATAAAAAAGTTCAAGTGGAAAATGCTACATATTTTCTGTAGATTAGAAAAATCTTAATAATGATTTATTTGTCTGAAATTATTGGAAAGGAATCAAAGGACATTTTGCATTGACAAAGACGGTGCACCATAGATCGTTGGTGTGTTAAAAAGGAAAGAGCTCCCTTTGAGGACTAAGATACACCTAACCTAAGCCATGGTATTTTTATATTACATCATATATATATATAAGCTGGGCATTGACTAAGGAAGACTGAAGAAGAATTGATGTCTTCGTATGCTACTGTTGGCAAAGAATATTAACTGTCCCACAGGGCGCTGTAAGAATGAAGAGGTCCAGTCAGGATGCTTCTTGGAAGTGAGGCTGTTGACACTTCATTTCAGATTCATTCGGTGTGCTATTGGGTGGGAGCGGGCCCGGAAGGAGGACATCATTCTGGGTACAGTAACGAGTCAGGAAAAAAGAGAAAGATTTTCAAAGAGGTGGATGGACGCAGTGACTGCAACAATGGGCTCAAACGTAATGGGAATTGGGAGGAGGATATGTGACCAGATAGTGTTTAGTTCTGGTGTACACAAGGTCACTATGAGTTAGTATCAATAATGGAATCAACAATAACATAGGTTATACATTTCTCCATTTTATTCAAGATGTTGTGCTCCTTTTCTGACATTCAACCTGAAAAAATGACCTCATGCATTAACAACTTAAAAATAATGCTCAATCTCTTAATCATTTCTAGAAAAACTATTCTGCCTAGATCTTAAATTATTTAGGAAACGTGCCTTATAGTTAAGGAGAGTGAGTTCACATGTTTCTGATAACATTAAAGACTATTTGTTTTATGAATTAACATAATGCTTTTTGCTTTTCTTCAGAAAATATAAAAGGACCAGTGTGTGATGGAAATAAAAATATATGACATATCCATATTCAATAGATGTCTAACGAATTTAATTTAATCTGCATTAGATAGTCAAAGAATCTTATTGGGTAACAATCAATAAGAGACAAACGCTTTCCATCTAATTCACCTAAATCCACTGTCATAGAATTGATTCCTACCTATAATGACTTTATAGGACCAAGTGTAACTGTCCCATGAGATTTCCTGAGCTGTCAATCTTTATTGAAGCTGACCACAAGAGCTTTCTACCAGGGAGTCTTTGGTGGATTTCAACTTCTGACCTTTTGTTTAGCAGCCAAATATTTTAAACACTGTGCTGTGAAAGCTCCTTAGTTTACCTACGCATGAATATATATTATAATGCAATATTATAATGTACTTGGTCCACTTCGTAAGTGCAAGGAAACACTTCAGTTAGTTATGGATTGTCATAAAAACTGTATTTACCTTGGATGAAATTCAAGATGGTTTATTGAAAAATTCAAATAAAAATTATCATTTTAATAATCACTTCCATATTTTTTATCAGAGGCTCAAAGAACTGAAACAAAGAGAATTTGCTCGAAATGTAGCATCTAAATCCAGAAAAGATGAACGAAAACAGGAAAAGGCACTTCAGCGGCTGCACAAGCTTGCAGAGCTCAGGAAGGAAGCTGTGTGGTGAGTGTGCACTGGCTCTTGTTTCCGGGAAACAGGACAAAAGAAAATGAAGGAAGGTATCAAGAGGACAGATCCATGTCGATCTGTACGGAGAATAAGGCACTCGTCCTTTCATGGCTTTTTATGGGCTGTAAACCATGATTTGAATTTTAAAAAGAAAAACTGTCTAATGCACACGTCAGTAAAAAGCCCCCAATTAACTATGATTTTAGTTTGCAAAGAAATGTTTCACATTATGTTCCTACTTAAGCTAGATTAGTTGGGAACTATTCAGCGTCTTGTGGAAATTCAAAACATGTAATTGATGAGGAGAACAAGCCACTGTCTCTTTGCCTTTTCCATACATGGAGTTTTAAGCGGAATTTGTTTTTGAATGGTAATTTGGACAACGTCTATTTGAGACTTTAAGATTTTTAAAAAGAAGAAGAAATATCTTGCGGACTTCTGAGAGAGATAAGAATTGATTTCACTGTGAATATATTGAGCAGGTAGAAATGCACAACTTTTAAATTGGGACCTGCTTCTGTAAGTGTGCAATAGTTAATGTGAATTTCAATTCCTCCCTCAGAATTCTGGTCAAGCAACTTTATAAAAACAAATCACTTTTTATCATGCCCCTCTCCCCTTAATAAATAAAATATCTCTGATTGTTAACTGTGTCCTGGTAGGATAGAGGATTATGCATTAAACTGCTAACTGCAAGGTCAGGTGTTTGAATCTACCAGTTGCTGTGTGTGAGAAAGAGGCATTCTGTTCCTTTAAAGATTTACCGTCTCAGAAATCCACAGAGATTTTCTACCCAGTCACATAGGTTTGCTCTGAGTCACACTCGACTGGTTGGCAGTGAGGGTTTTCTGTTTGGATTCTTTTCACTCTGTTCTCAATAGCATTAACGTAGTATTTTGCTATATGAAAACATTGTGATGTCACAATTTGGAAAAATACAAGCAAGATTAGAATGCATTTTAAATCCTATCTGGAACTATTAAAGGCAAACATCTTTTAATTTAAGTACTAGAACAGAACTTCAAATTCAATAACATGTATAGCTATTTAAACCAACAAAATATTTTTACTATGTGTGGTAATAAATGGAGAGAATACGCAAGTTTCAGGTTATATTATAGAGAATCATAGCACCAGTGTTATTTAGGACCCCATAAATAATCTTTGCAAATGTTAACTCTAATATTGAAGAGAATTAGAATTGATTAGAAGTTATGCTAAGAGAAGCAATATTTCTTATATGAATTATTTTCACTAGAATCCAGAGCATATCATTTATTCTCTGTTTATTCTGTGCCTCTAAAGATGTACAAATCAAGGGCAGCGTTGTATCTTAGAATCAATAAGGCAATTTAGCATTTCATAATGTTAGCAATTAGGTGAAAACAAAAAGGAGATATGCAACTAACACCATTTGGGCCATTTATAACTTCTTTTTTTTTTTTTTTTTAATCAATTTATTGGGGCTCATACAATTCGTCACAATACATAGATCAATTGTGTAAAGCACATCTATACATTTGTTGCCCTCATCATTCCCAAAATTTTCTTGC